GCCGGTTATAATCGCAAGATTCTCGCTGTGTATTATAACATTTAAAATGTTTTCCAAGCCACCACGATAAGAAATAAAAAATACAATTAACATGGAGAACTACGCAGATATGAGGACTTGTCCTTCACCAACACGACTGAAATTGTGTACTGTAGCTACAAACATAGTTGAAATATAAGAATATTGAAAACACCATGCTTTTTATATTGAATAGTTTTAACTCCTCCTTCTTCGATTTTGAATGATATCGAAAAAACAAGCATTATTTTCTTTTTATTTTCATTTTTATATCACACGGAATTCACTTAAAGACGAGTAGGGGTTATCTTCATTCATGTTTTAAGAATGCAGGACGCCTTTTCTCTCATGAAATTTTAATGTGTTCATTCAATGAATCGTGCGTCCCTTTTTGTTCAAGTTAATGAAACTATTTACACTTGATGATTCGTGTCCACGAAATAATTTATAACCAAACGATGATACAAAAATAAAGTATAACTGAATGAAATAAAAAAAGAAACCTGTGTAAAGGTTCGATGTGTGTAAAGTAAATAGTCTATTTAAACTGATAATTACTTCTTTATTGCGAAATAACTGTGTGCCTGTAAGGAACAAAAGAGAATTATTCCTTATTTTTAATTTACCTTTCAGAGTGCGTGCGATTCCCTTTATCATTACAGAGTCCTTTTTTATCTTTACGGCGGATGGCAAGTTTGAGAACGTAAAATATGTTTCTATTTACGCAAAGTAACACTCGAGACACTCATTCTGCTTCGAAAAGTTGCGATATTTATATATAAATTCTAAGCCGTTACAAGACTGTAAAAAAGCAGTGTGATATATTGGTATGGACCAGACAGGAACAACAAATTAATTATTGATAAGAGTTTTTCAATTGACTACTGTGACTGCAGCTGCAAGTCTAAAACAACAAATGCTAATGACAGTATTCTTTTTAATAAGTTTTGAATTTCTTACAGCAAAGGTGTTGCATCTTGAAAGGTAAGCCAGTTTTCTTTAACACTAGTGAACACTCGACGAATGGAAAACTGCATTTAAACTATTTGGAACATACAACTTCTTCATTTTGAGAAAACAAAAAGGAGAAAACTTGTCAGAACGAATTCGATGCGATAATCCCTCGCATCTGAAGAAAGCTCAACTTGAAAGCGATTAGTTTTGAGTTTTACAGTCCTTGTATAGGATTTGCTTTTCCCTTTTTGCTGCTGACGGAAAATATGTTAAATTTGACTTGATATTTCTAATTCTCCAACTAACAGCGTAAGGATTATTTTTTAAATCGAAGGATTCAAAACATGAGCTTTACATCACTTTTTTCAAACAATCTGACCAAAAAGGACATTTTAATTCATATTGGAAATTCTCTGTATTACATCTCGAATTTCACGTCCCAATGCAGCAATGTGAATATGGCCATAGTATTCTTCACAGCTGATAGAAAACCTTTAAATTATGGCAATATTTGCTAGTGAATGCAGAAGTTCAAATGGCGTTTCTTTTTATCTACTTTTTACAACTTTCTACGACTTCCTTTGTGGCGCAAAGTTTTGGAACACTTTCCTTTCCTTAATTTGACGCGAAAGAGATTTCATCAATATGCCAATTTATAATCTGACTTCAAGTCATTGCGGGCCAAAAAAAAAAGCAAGTCAACGTCTAGTAAACTCGCACAGCCACAGAATTTCGAAAAGTTACAAAAACTGAAAAGCTTCTTTGATATCACCTTAGATTTAGAAGGCCTATTCGGTCCACCGTTTTATTGTCTCGCTGTTTAGAAGTGCTGTTTCACAGTATTTTTGTTTTCTGACATTTGTGGCGGTGAAATTGAGTGAGTATCACAAAAAAACGAATTTTTGCCGGAAGGATCGCTTAAGTTTTCAAAAACAAGTAGAAGACTTACAAGGAATCTGGGTCTTAAATAATTGATTACTTTCAACAATTCGTAGACAAAACAAAGCGTATGGACCTGACTAAGATGTAAAACTTCAGCTTCGTCTTTGAATTAGGGAGCTACACTAACATACAGACAAGAATCACCAGCAAAGAAACATTCTTGGAGAAAACGGTAGGAAGTAATTTTGTTTGTGCTTAGTTGTGTAGAGTATTTCGTTTACAGAGAGCTATGTCAGTATGGCATGGCTACGCAAAGGTATTTTCTGGTAAAAAAAAAAAAAAAAAAAAAACTGTCGGTGTCTCGATGAAACCCAAAAATCATGTCAGAAAATTTTACGACCTTTTTCTGGAAACAAGAGGCTTAAATACTGTAGTAAGAGAGTAAACTTTGACGAAAGATATATTGGCTTAGTCAGGAGAGTTCCTACGAAGGCAGCGGCCCCTTTAATTTTTTTATTTTTCACTTCCATCTATGTCTCCCGCCTTCGCAAAATCTTGAATATTTTTGTGAGAAAAGTTAAAATGTGAAGAAAGATGAGAAGCTCGTTTAACAAGTGCGGGAAAGCTACTGCAAGGACCCAAATCCCAGCATATTGTGAAAAAGGACTCATTAATTGATAAACTAAGCATTGTATTGCTCCCACGAAGCGACTATACTCGAAACTTCAGTTTTTCAAATTTTCGCTACGGTGGTTTTCGCTTCCTTTAAAAACTCATGGTTGATTATTAACTGATTTTTTCCTTTTGCTCGACGATGCAGCAGCGTAAACAAATCTTTCACAAACTGGCAAGCTCCTGTCTTATGCCAAGTTTACACGCAAGCGCTCTTCAGCCGCTTCCTACAAATATCGCGAAGATCATTTGGGTGAAGATAGAATAAAACGGTCGTGTTAGAAATCTGACTCAAGTGTGAAACATATCCTGATTCCCCCTGAAGATTCCAGCCTCTGACACCTAAAGCAGTCCCTGACAGGCTCCGACTACACTTTTTTATATTTCATAAATATTTTTGCAGTTTAAAAATTGTCCGTATTCCATTTGGTAAATGAAGCATATACCTCGTACTTCCCGTTAATCGTGTCAAAAAGGAATTTGTTAGATATTGAACAGTTGAAAATTTTTCATGCGCTATGCTAAATTTTCCAAGTTGAGTTTCGCGGAAAAATTAAGAATTTGTTCATGGTTAGCGTGCGTATATCGAGTTATGGATGCATGCGGGAAGTTTGGAGAGCACGAAAAATGCGTAAGACTAGCTCGAGGCGCAGCCGAGAGCAATTCTAGCTTTTTTAGTGCTCTCCAAACTTCCCAAGTTCATCCATAACTCGATATACACACAGCTAAAAGCACGAGCAAATTCTTTTATAACAGAGCGACAACAGGGATCTGCGCGAAGAAGCCTTTTATTGTGATAGAGTGAAAAATTCTCACAACGCACAAAAAAGTAAACAAACGTCCCTATTGGCTGGTCAAAAACACGCCACATTTTATACTTTGGTTTGAGCGAGAACATTTGATCCAGTTAACCGATAACTGTGAATGAAAAGCTCAGAATTTACGGGGAAAATGGTTTTTGATTTAGATTTTTTGCGGCCTTGATTGTTTTGGTTTTGGTAAATTCCCAATTAACAACTGTGTACTTTATTCCCCAGGTTGAACAAATTTAAAATCAGCAATGAAAATGGAAATTTTACCTTAAAATGTTAATGGCCAGTTGGTGACTTTTTTTTTTGTTCTCAATGAATGTCTTTCGGCCAAAATTTGCGGCAGCTGGTCTTCTGACAAATTTGCGCAACAAGCAACTTGCGAGTTTTTTTCAGCTTTCGTTTTGTTGCTTGTTGGATCAGGACCTAAAAGGTCAATGTCGATAGAAAAATTGGGCAGTTCTTCGCTGGTTTCTTCCATATTTCAAAGTGAAGGAAAACTGCACTGCAGCTTAACAGGACGGAAACTCTAAGGCCAGGTGAAAAAAATGCTCACGTCATCTTATTTACGCACGGGCGTGCGTAAATAAGGATTTTGCTCTTAGCGGCTCAATAGGACTTAAATAGGGCAAGCACGAGCGCATTTTATAATTCCTCATTTATGGAAGTTGATGTAAGTTTTATCACGCGGTACTTAACGTTTTATTTCAATCTTTTTTGTAACCTTACTTGCATGTAAGGATAACCTGAAAATTCTTTATTAATGAGTTCAAAAAACAATTTCACGATGTCCCCACTTTGCAGCTTGAAAAGTTTAGTAAGTCCGGCTGGTATAATAGAGCGAGCATCAAGAATAAAACGAATTTTTGCCGGAAGGATCGTAAAAGTTTTCAAAAACAAGTAGGAGACAACAAGGAATCCGAGTCTTGAATAACTGATTAGTATGAACAATTCTTAAACAAAACAAAGCGTATGGACCTGACTAAAATATAAAATTATGTCATGCAGGACTGCAATTAATTTTGTAGTCCGCAAAAATGAAACGAAGTATTTCGGCTTCTTTTCAAGTTCTATGCCTTGCTTTACTGGAAACTGCAACTCGAAAATCAAGCCCGAAATCCGACTCAAAATCCTAACTTGAAGGAGCTTTGAGGTTTGCTCACAAGTAGAATTCGAGTTCGTATCACGACCTCCAGTCGCCAACAATCGGTTTTCGATCGCTGTTCAAGCGACTGCTCGATAACGGAGAAACTCCAAATCCTAACTCGTTAGCAGCTCCTAACTAACTATTCTAACTAATACAGCTCTAACCAGCCTTTCTTCATTACTCATTTGATATTGCATTTCCTGACCAGAATGCAAATCAAGCTAATGGTTAAAAATAACAAATATCGAATGACTAAATACGTTTTGGTATTGAACAATCATCCCTTTTCCTTAAATTTGGTCCAGTTTGGCAAATATCTATGACTTTTCTGTGCTTGCAATTCCTAAAAAAAAATAAACAAATGAAAATAAAGAAAAAAGGACAAACAAAGAGGCATGCATGTTGCTCGTTAACTCACGAAAAACCAGTCTACAGATTAGGGTAAGTTTTCGTCCAAAAGATAATTTGCCTTTTTCTATCCAGGGAACGTTTTTTCCCAAAGCTTGCGTCGAGAGGAAATGGCCAAAAAGGTCTTGTACGCAGCAGAGCTGTTGATCAAAAGCGTGCTGTTATACTGTACAGCTGCACAGCAATGGGAGGCTATGGGCCAGCCGGAAGTTTCCAAATTTGGTATGATGCTACAACGCCACATCTTCAAGAGGATCACGGGGGCTGGTCTTTCAGATGTATGCTTGCAGGAATGCTATGCTGACGTCAGATGTCAAAGTTTCAACTACGTCTTTACGCAAGACATTTGTGAGCTGAGCAACCGAACCAAAGAGGCCAGACCAGAGGATTATGTTCCGAACCCTGAGAGATTTTACTTTAAGCGAGATTACAAAAGAGGTTTGTAAATTATTTACTGTCTTCTTCCCTTTAAAGACATTTTCAGAGCACAAAATTTAAACCCAAACTTTTTTAGGGAATTTTAGAAATTTAAGGAATTGTGTCACATCACCTCCCTTATTGCCTTGAGTCGAGTCGCCCTCATTATGAATGTCTTCGCTCCCAAGACGAACATCAAGTCTTGCTTACTTGGAGTGCTATGCTAATAATTGCTTTTTCCTCCAGTTCCTCTCGGTTCCAATCCTGAGCTGCCTGCGGAGACTTGCCAGGAAATCAAAATGAGCGAAGGAGGAGAAGTGGTCAGCGGCAAATACTGGTTTCACACGATTGTACCCGAGAGGACTGTTCTGGCTCCTTGTGACATGAAAACTGAAGGTGAATTCAAGTGTTTATCAATTCACATCTTCTACAGAAAAATAAAACGGTTTACCACGAAACTCCCTCAGTATTCGTAGGGAGAAATGAAAAAATAAAGCAAAACAAAACAAAATAATGAAAAGTAAGATATCTGATGGAAACAAAGATATGAAAGAATTGGTCTGATGAATCCATGAACGAGTAATAATTCAGCGAATTCCCCCCTTTTTTTGCTTTTAGACGTGGACGAGTGTAATTCAACAATTCCCGTGTGTGACGCCAACGCCGAGTGCGAGAACACTATCGGTTCTCACAGATGCTCGTGCAAAGCGGGTTTTACTGGAAACGGAAAAAAATGTGTCGGTAAGTTAGTGAAATGACTTCATTATTTCTTGAATAAACAAAGCAAAACTAAACAAGGAATGCTCGATTAAAAAAATTTAAGTGTTTATCTCTCTTACAGAAAAAAAAAAAACTGAACCCCCTCAGTATTTGAGCAAAACAAAACAAAATGATAAAAAATAAGATATCTGACGGAAACAAAGCTATGAAAGAATGCTATAATCTATCTTCTCTTAAACTGATCGATTTGAGAACAGATCGAATAGAATTGAAAAATTTCTTTTTTGCCACAGAGATAATCATTGAATAGCAACACAACTTTATAGTGACGAAATTTAACGAATAAGGGGGAATTTTGCTTCTTAAAGGGGTCGTACAAAGTAAATTTTGGCTTCAGCCGGAGGCAATTGGTCTGATGAATCCATGAACGAGTAATAATTCAGCGAATACCCTCTTTTTTGCTTTTAAACCGACCACAAACTATTTGGTTTTTTCAGACGTGGACGAGTGTACTTCAACAATTCCAGTGTGTGACGTAAACGCCGAGTGCGTGAACACCATCAGTTCTCACAGTTGCTTGTGCAAAGCGGGTTTTACTGGAAACGGAAAAAAGTGTGTTGGTAAGTTAGTGAAATGACTTTCATTATTGCCTGGAGTTGTTTCATTTTAAAACAGAGCAAAACCAAAAAAATCCCGGCTTAATCCGGACACTCGATTAAAAAAATTACTTTAATGACCGATTGAAATTATACCCCACACCATGTCTTTTTCAACTGCTCATACGGTGTGACGCTTTCGCCAATAACAGTCATTTTCGATCGACTCTTGCTCTTGAGTTTAAGCCATTCAGTATTTTTTGCATTCTCTCAGATTTCGACGAATGTGCCAATAAATCGCATGACTGTGACGTCAATGCCTTCTGCAACAATACCATTGGTTCCTATCAATGCACCTGCAATCCCTGGTACCAAGGAAAAGGAACAAGCTGCTATTTTCGCGAGTTTAACTAACATTAAGAAACGAGCGACCTTAGTTTGTTATGACACCCGCATTTCGCATTCTCTATCTTTCTCTATCGTCATATGAAGCTTATAATTTTGGAAATTAGCTCTCAAATATATATAATTTTTTAACATGAGTCGTTCATGAATCGGGACTAAGACGGAATTTGTCCTAACAAAGGGCTACATTATGACCCTTTACTCCCTAGCATCAGCACAAATATCAGTCCACACTGCATCAGTAAGGATTTGATGTTCATTGGAAAAATCCACCTGCACAATTTTTCTACAGTAGAAAGGACGTTATGAGGTCTGTAAGTCACTCAGACACTTGATTCTTCGAAACGAAATAAAAGTCACACAGAGGCAGCCAGTAAAAGAGAGCAACTGGTGTGCCCTCAGTCTCCTCGTCGCGTGTAAGCAAAACAGCTGCACGCTGGTTGGTTCCCGTGCGGGTTCTCTTTGTCTGCGTCTCACAAGCTTTTTGTTCGCCTTTTTCCTTTGGGGGGGAAAACGGCTGCTACGCAGGGTAGCAAAAAAATATTGTCTTACGCTAGACATTAACTATTTCTGTTCACACGCTTTATATGCCTTTGTTTGGAGTGAATCAAATACTCTACGAGGCAGCCAGTAAAACACTCTCCATTTCCAGGCTGCTTCACCGCTCATTTGAATTATGTACACTGGATTGCTTTCCTCAAGAAAAAGTGGAACTACTTGTACAAGATGAGGGTGGATCGGGGGTTCTATGAGCTCTGAAAAGAGCTCCCGATCATGATCATTTTTTCTTTGATCTTTCATCATTGTGTACTTTAGTTGCAATAAATGTAAATACGCGCTATATAAATTGGTAAATTAAATTAAATAACTCAGGTGATGCGCTAAGATCATTTTTAAAACTCGCGGTTAATCGTATATTTTACAAATGAGTGGTTTTCTTGAATAGGTCATTGTTTAGTGTTGACAGCCATTGTTATTCTAGCGTGGGCTGAAAACAATAGTGTCTAACACGCAACTCGCCATTTTCGAAAGGAACTTCGACTAAAAATTTTAAAACTGCGAGGAATAGTGGTTGCCGTTCACCAATTTTCCAAGTTAAAACGGATTCTGTTTTAGGAAAAATCCATCTTCTATTTCCCGCTCTTGGGTTTTTGGAGGCCGGCTTGAGTTTTTGAAAAATCGCTTTTGAAATCGGCTTTCATACTAAATATGTCCGTTTTTTCGTCATTTTCAAAGGCTTTGGAATAGTCCTTATACTTTCTCAAACTTCCTCTTATTAAGCTTAAGTTAAAGATTAATCCTTCCTCTTCAAAAACCCGCTCTTGGGTTTCTCATTTATTGCTTCTGGCAATTGAAAAAGAGAATTTTGTGAACGCTGCTGCGCTAGTTTCGGCCCTTTCTTCTCTAATTATGGGCTTTTCAAGGCGCGAGTACATTCAAATCTCCCGCTACAGTGCTGATGAATAATTAATGATGTCCAAGCATTCTACGCAAGGCCTGATATATCAGTCCACACTGTTCGCTATACATACCGTATGGAATTTGTTTGACAATCAAGAGCATCATAACTTGGTGATTATTTCGGATCCTTTATTCTCATGATCCTGATGTTTTTTTCGGCTACAATACGGAAAGGAGAAATTAAATGTTAATCCTTCTTAGGGGTTAAAGGGTTGAAGAATACGTCTGGCTTGGCGCCTTACTTACCCTCCTCCCTTAAAGTCTGTTCCTCACAACTATGTCGAACTTTCTATCTTGATCAACCTTAATTCTTCTGTTTTCATTATTATCGCGTTTTTATCTCGTGGTTTCCTTAAATTCTAAGAAAGCATTGATTGGTGCAAATAACGAGGCAATATATAATTACGTGTAATGCAGCTGGGTCGAGAAATCTGGAATGTCACCCAAACACGCTTTCATCGTATAAACACGTCTGAAAGGGATACAACGTTTCCATAAGTGCACCTCCCAGTTCACATGGGGTCGTAAAGGCAAGTTGTGTCACAGATCGATGTGCGTCACACAACGGTTGTCACGCTGTAAATCGTAAGCACGAAAAAGCAAATTGTAGACATTACCACCCCCAAGATGACGAATGCAACATGACGCCAAAACTTCATGTAGAGCAATCCTAACCTTTTCTCTCTTTTTCGGTTATTCGTATAGGTGGCCTTAATAGCTCCGTTATTCTTACTAGCCTCGACTACAACAACTACACAGGTAAGCTGCTCTCTTACCTAGAGCCAGTCCTCCTGAGTTCAGAGCGGAGCAGGTTTGTGAAGTGTTGGCACGCTAAGACAGACGGCTGGGCGGCATCGACATTCCACAGCAACTGTGATGGGAGGGGACCCACAGTGACAATCATCAAAGTGAACGATTCCATATTTGGTGGATACACTGACGTATCATGGAGCAGTAAGTACATCTTGGCCACTAAGTTCTTTTTTTCGGTGCAAGGTTTGAAGGATTTAGAGGGGCAAAGAATTAACGTTGGAAGGATTTGATCTAGCCTGGTGTCTAAAACAGAAAAAAAAATGTCTCCTTAAGCCTGTTTCTTGAAATTCTTGGTAACACTACGGGCCCAAAGCCATATCTTGTTATTCAAGTCCATCCAATTTGGTTTCGTCTCATGATATTCTCATCGTTTGAATTTCAAAACTATACATAACTCGACCTTGAATGTAAAAACGGCAAACGAAAAACAGCTTTTTGTGGCTGGTCCCTGATCCTATACCTGTCTAATCTTTGCGTGTATTTCTGCATTTCAATCGTAATCAACATTTTAGGTTCCTGTGATTGGTCTTCCGCCGCCAAAGCCTTTTTATTCTCATTTAACAACATCAAAGGATACAATCCTGTGAAGCTGACACAATACCGAAACCAGCAACACGCAATGTACACATGTTCCTCCTACGGACCCACTTTTGGTTCAGGACATGACATCTTCATACGTGACGACGCAATAAACAATCAACTCTCTTATACTGAATGCGGTTGGACGTACTCTAACCCCACGGGTTATTCAGCTGGAGACTGTGGATTTTTCACGGGAAGTTTTTATTTTACTCCATCTGACATTGAAGTTTTCTTCGAAATAGGTAAGTTATTGTACAGAAACACTTAAAACCCTGTCGTAAATATATGATAAATAAATACAGACTCTTATTCTTGGCAACGGTCAGGGATTCTAAAAGCGCGTACGTTGAACCTTATACAGAAGCGAAATACTATTCAGGATATTGTTGCAGCAGTGCTGAGTGAATTGTATCTCAGTTGCGGGATATCAGTGCTCATTAACTAAATCAGGAAACAAATTGATCTAGATGCTTGTTTTGCCATAAAATCGAATCGCTGAGTTTGGCTGAAACAGACAGTTCAACCCAGCTAAAATGAACTTTTGGTTTCTGCTTTTCGTTCCCAGTTTTACACGCACTTAAGAAAACGGGTTCTCGTGAAATTTAGTTGATGTGTTTACAAAATAAATGCACAGGAAAATGTTTAGTATTTATGGGATCACATGGTTAGCACCTCGCCTTGTGAATAACAAGATCTGGGGCTCTATTTTTTTTTAAAAGCTCTCACAGTCGTGAGGAAGAAATGAATCTTTCTATGTTCTAGAACGTCTGTTATTGTAATTTACATTCGAGTTTCTATTACGCACACAGGTGGCCTTGGTGCATCTATTATACTTGGAAGCCTGGACCCCAATAAATACTTGGGAAAGCTGATTTCGTTTTTAGACCCAGTTCTTCCCAATGCATCCCATAGTGACTTTGTTAAGTGTTGGCACGCTAAGGCAGACGGCTGGGCGGCATCGACATTCCACAGCAACTGCGATGGGAAGGGACCCACAGTGACACTCATAAAAGTGAACGATTCCATATTTGGTGGATACACCGACGTATCATGGAGCAGTAAGTACATTCTGGCCATTAAGTTTTTTTTTGGTGCAAGGTTTGAAAGATTTAGAAGGGCAAAGAATTAACGTTGGAAGGATTGGATCTAGCTCGGTGTCTAAAACAGAATCAAAGTGCTCTGTGAGCAAACTCGTGAATTGACACATGATTTTTCAGATTATGTTTAATGTTATCTGGTTTAGGGAATTTTGTGGTTGATTGTCATATCTAGAGTACGAGCAGTAGTTTAGTGTTCGCTAATGTAGCAAAGAAACAAAGTAACGTTGGGATAAGAAGGCATTACAATTGAAATGATCATGCTATTACATTTGACAAGGTGGATGATGTCATGTGTTTTAAACGTCCATCATTTTTGTTTCTGGTTCAAAAGAAAAGGTTGGAAGTAAATGTGGGTGAAAAGTGAAATTTACTGTCTTTCGTTGTAAATATTAGAAAATCAAGGCAATACTGTCTCAATGAAAACATTAACGATTCCCTCTTTATCAAATGAGACAAACGGGAACGAGTTTTGAGTGATATAACTAAGCCAAGCCTGCCACCGTCATTTTGGATCTCCGCCTGGGTAGATTTAAGTCACGTGCTAGGCAACGTATAATCAATAACAAGATAGAATTTCATTTCAGGCCTATTTATCAATTTTGTGGTGTGTAACTTTCGCATTTTAGTACGTTGTATGTATGTTGAATCTTCAAATTGTCATGAAACTTAAAAGAAAATTGTTCTTTAAAAATTCACTGAAAATCGGTAGCTAAAATTGTTTGTTTAGGTGTTATTTGATTTTCGTGTTAACTTGTTATTTCGTCAGTCGCCGGCATCTTCTGTTGCTTCACACAGGAAAAACACACGCGACGAAACGTAATGATCAATTTTGTCCTCAATCTGACGCTATAACAGAAAAAGCTTTTGAACATCTGTAAACTCCGAGCGCTTCGCAGTAAGTGATATTTTCAATGAATCTTCGGATTGTTTTCAAGTTCAAGGATTGTAAATTACAATTTTATGAAAAACGAAGGTTGTTCTGTTATTTCAGTGTGAATCCTTGCATGCCTGCCAGTCGCTGGCGCCGCTTGTTGAAACTAAAACGAAAAAAAAAACTCTTTTAAGATTATCATTGGCTTCTTTTTCACCCCACCACTATTCTTAGCAACAAAGGTCGCCATTTCGTCTGTTTATTGCTCGCAAAAAACTATAAAATGCACTCAAAAGCCTAAAATCTAAAAAAAGTTTACAGGAATCGACCAATCGAGCGAGCGAGCGAGCGAATGCCATTCCTCACATCGTATCTATAACTCGTGAATTGCGCATGCGCGCAATTCACGAGTTAAAAAAGGAATGTCTCCTAAAGCCTGTTTCTTGAAATTCTTGGTAACGCTACGGGCCCGAAGCCATATCTAGTCATTCGAGTCGATCCATTTTGTTTCGTCTCATGATATTCTCATCGTTTGAATTTCAAAACTATCCATAACTCGATCTTGAATGTAAAAACGAGGAACAAAAAACAGCTTTTCGGGGCTAGTCCCTGATCGTATGCCTGTCTAATGTTTGGATGCATCTCTGCATTTCATTTTCATCAACATTTTAGGTTCCTGTATTTGGAGCATCAGTGAGTAAAAAACAAGCAAACATCTCTCACATGTAGAACAGATAACCGATCGATTAGTCGTAGACTTTTCTTGTAGCAGTGAGTTCATCGTAGAAAAAGAAAATATCACATTAACAACTGAGATCCTAAAGTAGAAAACCTCGTAAATTACCTGAAGAAGGCGTTTGAACGGGTTTTAACTTTAAGTCTTGTTTCGGATTTGATCAGTTTTGATTTGATTTGATTTGATTCTGACGGCCCCATTTCGTTCCATTTCTCCATGTTTCGTTGTATCCATTAAAAAAGTGAAAATATGCTCTCGAGTTCTTTGAAATTTTTTCTAACAAATTAAAGTGTTCGGTTCTAGTTCGGCATGTAAAAAAAATCATTTTTTATGGTTATCATCATAATATTTTTCCTTATTTGCATAGTTTCTAATGCTCATAAATCTTTTTATTTTAGGTTCCTGTGCTTATTCTCCAGCCAGTAAAGCATTTCTCTTCTCCCTCAACAACATCAAAGAATACAATCCTGTGAAGCTGACACAATACCGAAACCAGCAACACGCAATGTACACATGTTCCTCCTACGGACCCACTTTTGGTTCAGGACATGACATCTTCATACGTGACGACGCAATAAACAATCAACTCTCTTATACTGAATGCGGTGGAACGTACTCCAACCCCAAGGGGTATTCAGCTGGAAACTGTGGTTTTTTCACAGGAAGTTACAATTTTACTCCTTCTGACATTGAAGTTTTCTTCGAAATAGGTAAGTTATTGTATAGAAGCACTTAAAACCCTGTCGTAAATATACGATAAATAAATACATAAACCCTAATCCTTGACAACGGTCAAGGATTCTAAAAGCGCATGCGCTGAACCATATACAGAAGCGAAATACTATTCAGGTTATTGTGGCAGCAGTGGTAAGTGAATTGTATCTCAGTTCCGGGATATCAGTGCACATCAACTAAATCAGCAAACAAACTGATCTAGATGCTTGTTTTGGCATGAAATTGAATCGCTGAGTTCGGCCAAAGCAGACGACTCAACCCGGCTAAAATGAACGTTTGGTTTCAGCTTTTCGTCCCCAGTTTTACACGCACTTTAGAAAATGTGTTTTCAAAATAAATGTACATGGAAATTTGAAGTTTAAATGGGATCACATGGTTAGCACCTCAACCTGTGAATATGACGATCTGGGGCTCTAATTTTTTGCGAAATACTTTCACGGTTATGAAAGAAGAAATAACATATTTCTTTATTTTAGAACGTCTGTTATTGTAATTTACATTTGAGTTTCTTTTACGCACACAGGTGGCCTTGGTGCATCTACTATACTTGGAAGCCTGGACCCCAATAAATACTTGGGAAAGCTGATTTGGTTTTTAGACCCAGTTCTTCACAGTGCATCCAGCACTGACTTTGTTAAGTGTTGGCACGCTAAGACTGACGGCTGGGCGGCATCGACATTCCACAGCAACTGCGATGGGAGGGGACCCACAGTGACAATCATCAAAGTGAACGATTCCATATTTGGTGGATACACCGACGTATCATGGAGCAGTAAGTAGATCTTGGCCATTTATTTTTTTCTTTTGGAGCAAGGTTTGAGGGATTTCAAAGGGCAAAGAATTAAGGTTGGAAGGTTTTGATCTAGCTTGGTGTCTAAAACAGGAAAAAAAATTCTCCTAAAGCGTGTTTCTTGAAATTCTTCGTGACGCTACGGGCCAAACAGAAATCTCTTAGGATAGAAATCTAAGCAATAATTGTTTGAGTCGTTTCTCAAAAAAACAAATTTACTTTTGTTTCGTCTCATTATATTCTCATCGTTTAAATTTCAAAACTATCTCTAACTCGATCTTGAATGTAAAAACGGCGAACAAAAAACAACTTTTCCGGGGCTGGTCCCTGATCGTATACCTGTCTAATCTTTGGGTGCATCTCTGTATTTCAATTTAAATCAACAATTTAGGTTCCTGTTTTTGGTCTTACGCCGCCAAAGCCTTTTTATTCTCATTTAACAACATCAAAGGATACAATCCTGTGAAGCTGACACAATACCGAAACCAGCAACACGCAATGTACACATGTTCCTCTTACGGACCCACTTTTGGTTCAGGACATGACATCTTCATACGTGACGACGCAATAAACAATCAACTCTCTTATACTGAATGCGGTGGAACGTACTCCAACCCCAAGGGGTATTCAGCTGGAAACTGTGGTTTTTTCACAGGAAGTTACAATTTTACTCCTTCTGACATTGAAGTTTTCTTCGAAATAGGTAAGTTATTGTACAGAAGCACTTAAAACCCTGTCGTAAATATACGATAAATAAATACATAAACTCTAATCCTTGGCAACGGTAAGGGATTCTAAAAGCGCATACGCTGAACCATATACAGAAGCGAAATACTATTCAGGTTATTGTGGCAGCAGTGGTAAGTGAATTGTATGTCAGTTGCGGGATATCAGTGCTCATCAACTAAATCAGGGGAAAAAATTGATCTATTGATGCCATGTTTTGCCATAAAATTTAATCTCTGAGTTGGGCTGAAACAGACAGTTTAACCCAGCTAAAAATGAACTTTTGGTCTTTGCTTTAGTCGTTTCCCAGTTTTATACGCACTTAAGAAAATGTGTTTTCGTGGAATTTAGTTGATGTGTTTACAAAATAAATGCACTTGAAAATATTGAGTTTAAATTGGATCATATGGTTAGCACTTCGTCCTGTTAATAAGAGGATCTGAGGCTCAAATTTTTTAGAACGTCTGTTATTGTAATTGACATTCGAGTTTCTTTTACGCACACAGGTGGCCTTGGTGCATCTATTATACTTGGAAGCCTAGACCCCAATAAATACTTGAGAAAGCTGATTTCGTTTTTAGACCCAGTTCTTCCCAATGCATCAAGTACTGACTTTGTTAAGTGTTGGCATGCTAAGACTGACGGCTGGGCAGCATCGACATTCCACAGCAACTGCGATGGGAGGGGACCCACAGTGACAATCATCAAAGCGTATGATCACATATTTGGTGGATATACCGACGTGTCCTGGAGCGGAGGCAAGCATATCAAATTTTTTAAGAGGAGACAAGACAATTTTATAGGATCAACTATCGTTCCTTTTGGGATTCAAGGAGGGGGGAAGGGGAGTGGGAGCTGGAGAAAATTTTAAACGATGCTCCTTTGATAAGAGCTCTAAGCCTTTATTATTTCATATTAGTTTTTTGGCCATCAAGATTTCTTGACACCTATATCGTCTATAGAAATGTTTCCTATTTGATACACTCGCAGAACAACATCAAGACCATAGGGCTCATTTGCTTCGAGTAACCCCGTAAGTCCCCCATAATTGTTTTTGGTACTCGTTCATATACCCAAACCAGAGAAATATTTTCCTCTACTTTACAAATCTCTAGTTTAAAAAAACTCCCCGTCTAGCTCATGATAGGAAATGAACTCCCCCCCCCCAATCTAGAAGGAGTTCATGTTTTCTTCCAACTTTTTAACGTATGACCACATTTTCTTCTATTTCAGGTGGTTCTTGCGCTTATTCCTACGCCAGTAAAGCTTTTATCTTCTCTCTCTATAACGTCAAAGGATACAATCCCGTAAAGTTGACACAATACCAAAATCAGCAATATGCAATGTACAGATGCAATACGTATGGACCCACCTTTGGCGGTGGGTGTGGTCATGATATCTACATATCCGATGACTCTAGAAACAACAGAAAATCCTCCACCAGATGCGGTTGCACGTACACGACACCCTCAGGGTACTCAACTGGTGACTGTCATTTTCTTACATGGTCTCCTTTCTCTCCAACGGACATCGAAGTATTCTATGAAGCAGGTAATCAAGAGAAACATACCTTTTCAAGCATAGATACTTCGTAGAAAATTGTGTTGACGGAATACTGAAAGCTTACTTTTTGTCATTTCAAAGGAATGTGTAAGCTTATAAAGTCTCTTTTGCAGCATTTATTTATGTTCGTCACACATCACATTGGGTGACGAGCCCGAGAGGACTTGCCTGAGTTGCCGCGGGGGTTTGTGGGTATTACATGAGAACGAAGTTGGTGGAACCACTTGAAGGAACCCCTGAGCTAACAGACAAATTTCATTCTCTCTGCCGCCTAAAATACCGACTGGTAGACGGGCTAGGAATTGTTCAACTTCCCGAATCAGTAATGTTAGATTATCTAGCGGGCCAAACGAGGGGTGACGAAATTATCCACTTTAGATTGAAAGACGACACCACCAATCAAAGCTCTTGTTTCATTTATTTAACCAACTGTAATTTTTCCTCTTCTTTTCCTTCTTCAGGGCTCGGTTTGTCCGCCATACTTCGAAGTCTTGATTACAGCCAGTACTTGAAGGTACTGTTTTCGTATTTGGACCCAGTCCTTATCAATAAAGAGCGTAGCAGGTTTGTGAGGTGTTGGCACGCAGAGACTGACGGTTGGGCAGCATCGACATTCCACAGTAACTGCGATGGGAGAGGACCCACAGTGACTATCATCAAAGTTAACAGTTATATCTTTGGTGGATACACTGACGTGTCCTGGACCAGCAGTGAGTAAAAAACAAGCAAACATCTCTCACATATAGGACGAATAACAAATCGATTAGTTGTGGACTTTTCTTGTAGCAGTGAGTTCATCTTAGAAACAGAAAATATCACATTAACAATTGCGATCCCAAAGAATACAGACTCATAAATAGCCTGAAAACGCGTTTGAAACGGGTTTTGACTTAAAGTCTTGTTTCGGATTTGATTTTTGATTTGATTTTGATTTTGATTTGATTTGATTCTGACAGCTCCATTTCGTGCCTTTTCCCCGTGTTTCGTTGTATCCATTATTCATATTGGAGAGCTGAAACGAAGGATGTTCAATTAATGCTCACTTTAGATCATATGTTGCCTTTGAATAACACTTCGGACCATATTTCCAGTGCTTTTTTTTTAAATTGAAAATATGCTCTCGAGTTCATTGAAATTTTTTCAAACAAACTTAAGTGTTCAGTTCCATTTCGGCAAATAAAAAAATAAAATTTTTTATGGTTATCATAATGAATCTTTTTCTCATTCGTATAAATTCTAATGCTCCTAAATCTTTTCATTTTAGGTTCCTGTGCTTATTCTTCAGCCAGCAAAGCTTTTGTTTTCTCTCTTTACAACATCAAAGGATACAATCCTGTAAAGCTGACGCAATACCAAAACCAGCAAAATGCGATGTACAGATGTTCCTCTTACGGACCCATTTTTGGTGTAGGACATGATATCTACATATCGGATGACGCGAAAAACAATCAGCACTCTAATACTGAATGCGGCCAGACGTACCAAGACCCCACGGGTTACTCGGGTGAAAACTGCGGATTTTTCACGGGAAGTTATCGTTTTACTCCATCTGACATTGAGGTTTTCTTCGAAATAACAAACTAAACAGTAAAAACTATGCTGTCTAAGTAAGTATGGAGTAAGAATTGTAGCAATAGAGTTAATAGAGTTAGTGCCTCCTCACACAAGGCCCGGTCAAAAGACCTTTCCTTGTATTCTCTCAGTTCTTAGTTGCTTATTGCGTATTTAAAAAAAGCGCTCTGGCTGCTGGTGAATCCATAGTTTATTGTACCGATAAAATATGTCTGTAATCACCAGAATGAAAAATTTTAATCCTTAATCTTAGGGGAACAACCAAACTTTTTTAAAACTGATGTGTCCTAAACAATTTTAATGGGCAAAAAATGAAAAAAGACTTTTTCTTCGAGGGAAATTGGAGGTCGAGAGGACCGCTGTTAGCGAAAGCGGCACCTGAGTAACTTCCCTGGGTCTCACTCGGTTACTTGTGATCGTGTCACGTCTCCAGGCCTGATGAAAACAGAAACTGAACCGTGAAAAGATCAGTTGTGTTAATTTCTGTCTTGTTACTTCAATCTCTGCCTCATGTCTCAGTTTCTGTTCTTATGATTTAAATGTTGTTCTCTTGGTCCAATATTGGTTCTGATGAGTGGATTTGAGCGTTCGAATTTCAAACTCCTCTGCGTTGTGTTCTTAATGCTTAAATTCTCATCTACAGGTTTTATTTCATTTTTTGCCCATGCTTTACCATAGCCAAAATCAAAAGGAAATAACAAGAATATAATCATGTAACCCCAAAAAGAACATGTCGCCCAAGGTTCAACTTCTTTTTTAATCTTATTTAATCATTAGGCTCGACTAGCCTGGTAGATTTTAGCCAGTTAGAGGCGTAGCTAAAATCTTGGAACATTTTTATCCTAGAGTCAGGGAAAACAGTATGTAGTTTTAAGGGGGGTTAGAGGTAGATAGAGACATAAAAAGTCGGTTCCAGTCTACAAGACAGTGAAGATGAGTGAAAGGGCGAGCAAACCACAAACGGCGGTCGCGGTTCTCAGGAAAACGGCTGACCGCCGTTTTTTGCAGGCGATTCGAGTCTGGCTGAGAGCCTGCTACAGACTGTGTGATAAGGAGATTTGAGATTTGCGTTTAGCCTTACCTAGCCCCGATATTTAACATACGCTAAACTTACCGTTGAAAAAAACTTCAGTTTGTATAGAAACACTTTGTCGGACAGTTGATTCTTTTGACAGAGATGTGGTTATGTCATCCAGGATGGAAGTATTTTTACAAGACCTCTAAATGAAATTTCGACCTCACTTGTTCTTGACATCTCAAGCTCGTTTGAACCCTAGATCGATATCGTTTAAGTTATACAAGGAAATGGTCAGGTATATTTAAAACTTATTTGAACATAAAGTTTACATCTGATCATAACTGTGGCTGTCAGAAATCAACTGTAATCCTTTGAATGTAAGTAAAACTAAGTTCACCACTCGTTTATTTTCATTGTATTTTATTTCACCGTATTAAGATAACCTTCGGCGTCAGTTTTCAACGACTGATTGATGCATAACAGTATTTAATCGATGAACCCAAAGTAAAATGTTCGCACGTGCACATCACGCGCCAGATCCAACTAGTAATTGGGTTTTTCCCGCGCTTTTGAGCACCTCCACATTTTCCCACGCTTGCTTATTGTTTTGTTCTTTCCTGCTCCTTTTCCTAATTTCACCCATTCACTGTTTCCTTGCACCAATCAACAGCTGCATACTTTCCCATGTTCGTCAATTATCAGCTTTTCCTTAGCAATCGTATTATTCTGCATTTGAGGTGCAGTAGCATGTCAATTTGCTTTATCAAAAATATGAGCTCACGAAAGTTTTTTTTGTTTCCTGCTTCATGGTAGCCTCTACACGCTAATTTCAAACCATAACCGCCAAAGA